CGGCCCGCCTTCGACGTGAAGGGGGGACGGCCTCATGCCGCCTCACCGCGCGACGCGGCGGCCGGCCGCCACCTCAAAGGAGGCCTCTCGCGCTCAAAATACGTGCGAGGCACCTGCCGAAGGGGGTGGGGTGGTCGGGCGGTCTAGGGGAAGGCGTCTCCGGTGGGTGGGCGCCGCTCCTACAGCGCGCGGGGCGGGGAGGCCGACTGCGGCGGTGATACGGTCGCGCGCGCGGGGCGTGGAGGGCCAGGGAGGTGGAATCCGGGGCGGCGGAACCTTCCGATTTTTGACGTGATTAACTAGCCCGAGGCTGGCCGGAGAGGATTGAGCCCTCCGATTTTTGTTTTTCCGTTGCTCCAGCCGGCCAGCCGTGCCTACGGCGAGAAAAGGAGCGTCCGACCCGGTCCGATCTCGCGCTCCAGCGGGAACGCCGAGCGCCTCGGACGCCAAGCGGGAACGGCGTTCCGAGGCGGGGCGCGGTGGCGATCACCGGTCGGCGCCTTCGCGGCCGGCCGGCCCGGTGGGTTGCCACGGCACATGCGCCGCGCGCCGTCGCCAGGCCCCGCCGCCGCCCCGCCAGAGCAGCGGCGAGATGGGAGGCGGTCGGCGGGTGACATCGGCTCTTCGAGCGAGCTTTCAGCTCACTTTTGACGACGCTAGGAAAATCAATTCGTGGAATCCAGTCCGAGATGCAGTGAGGCGGAGCCTACCCTGTTGGCAGACGAGAACTCCGAAAGAGGCAGCAGCTCCGCCGCCGGCGTACAATGCCGGTCTCTCTAAATACTAAAAAGAAGTGGCGGCAAAAGAATCTTAGGTATGCCACTTCAAAGAAAAGAATTTGACAAGGAAGCTCCCTCGCTCAGCCCTCGCGGCTGGCGGCTCCCGCGCTGCTCGACGACGGTGGCATCGGCTCGCTTTGCCTGGGCTTTCTCCTCCTCCGCCAGTAGCGCCTCGGCATGCCGCGCCGCAGCGCGATGTACCATGCCGTTTCGCTCAGCGTCTCGCCGGCGAGCAGCCGCTCGTAGCACGCCGCCGCGAGCTCGCACTCGCCCAGCTTGAGGCGCATGTTGACATGCGAGAGGATCGTCGTCGGACGCGGGTCGAACCCGCTCGCCTGCGCGAAGAGCGAGGCCGCCTCGGCGGTGTCACCGGCCGCGTTGGTCGCGAAGGCCTGCTTGGTCAGCCGGTCGTGCATCTCCGCTCGCTGCGCCGCCGAGTTGACGTCCGCCGAGCCCTGGTCGAGGTGTCGAGGCCCGGTGTCGAGGTTGTCGAGCTGCTGTCGAGGCCTGTCGAGGGATAGAGGTGTCGAGGCCTGTCGAGGCCTGTGAGGCCCGAGGCCTGTCGAGGCCTGTCGAGGCCTGTCGAGGCCTGTCGAGGCCTGTCGAGGCCTGTCGAGGCCTGTCGAGGCCTGTCGAGGCCTGTCGAGGCCTGTCGAGGCCTGTCGAGGCCTGTCGAGGCCTGTCGAGGCCTGTCGAGGCCTGTCGAGGCCTGTCGAGGCCTGTCGAGGCCTGTCGAGGCCTGTCGAGGCCTGTCGAGGCCTGTCGAGGCCTGTCGAGGCCTGTCGAGGCCTGTCGAGGCCTGTCGAGGCCTGTCGAGGCCTGTCGAGGCCTGTCGAGGCCTGTCGAGGCCTGTCGAGGCCTGTCGAGGCCTGTCGAGGCCTGTCGAGGCCTGTCGAGGCCTGTCGAGGCCTGTCGAGGCCTGTCGAGGCCTGTCGAGGCCTGTCGAGGCCTGTCGAGGCCTGTCGAGGCCTGTCGAGGCCTGTCGAGGCCTGTCGAGGCCTGTCGAGGCCTGTCGAGGCCTGTCGAGGCCTGTCGAGGCCTGTCGAGGCCTGTCGAGGCCTGTCGAGGCCTGTCGAGGCCTGTCGAGGCCTGTCGAGGCCTGTCGAGGCCTGTCGAGGCCTGTCGAGGCCTGTCGAGGCCTGTCGAGGCCG